ATAATGGTGAATGTGATAAATTATAATACCACCTATAGATCATATCATAATGGAAGCAACAGTATACCGAAAATAATTTCAAAAAATCTGAAAATAAGTCCAAAAATTCCAACTTGGTTTCAGAATATTTCACTTATTATATCAATATTATAATTTACAGTTGAACTTCTACAAATTGATATAGTCGAGACTAGGAAAATTCTATTAATTTGGCGAATTGTTAAATTATCGAGTTAATAATTTAACACGTTTTCACCGAGTCAGGACCGAGAGAAATTATTATTTAATCGAGGTTATTAATTTATCGAGGTTCTACTGTATTTATATTTCCGGTGACTAAAAATTGAAATTTTCGAATACGGTCGACTCTAATACAAAAATTGGCACTTCTGGAACAATTTTTTACATTTCAATTTTGAAAATCAATATAGATTTTTCACTTTCGGAAATAAAATATATATATATATATTTTTTTTGAGAAGTGCTTATTTGGATATATATATATATATATATATATATATATATATATATATATATATATATATATATATATATATATATATATATGTTTTATATTTGTCTTGCTATCTACGTTTTATATATATATATATATATATATATATATATATATATATATATATATATAAATATTGGATCCAATAGCCTAAGAAACAAAAGAACTTATTATGTACTGATTGTATATACATTTTAATGCATTAAATTGCCTAGTATATGAATTTGCATATATTTAACAAAAAAAAAATAAAAAAAAATTCAAAGTTTAAAAAAGAAATTAACAACTTATTAAGATGGTGTTTGCAAAAAAATATTTCACAGTAGAAGTTATAGATTATGAATTAAGTTGGTTTTAAGTGCTTATTTCTAAAAGTTGTGGGTATTTGCAAATTTGCTGGAAAATTAACTTAAATAGAGAAAGTAGGATCATGGATGCTTAACAAATTATAACTGAAAGTTGCATATTTTAATAGAAGAAAAAACAAAAAATCATTTTACAAACACTTAAAAATAGATTACGAGATAAAAAAAATGTTCATAATCTATTTGTAAAAGATTTTGCAAACACCATCTAAGTACTGAGCGTATATAAATTTCAAAGCGGTGCAAGTGAGTATTTTTTGCCAATTGAGGTACAGGCGGTTATCGAAGAGTTTTGTATTTACATCTAGGGTAAATTCCACTTTTCCCCTTATACTTTTGTTCGGTATCACTTTACCCCTTTTACTCTAGATTGCATCGATTTATCCCCTGCATTTGAAAAACTGCTTCAATGTGGTCCTCGCTGTTAGTTGTCAGACATTTGACATTAACATCATTTAGTTTAAACTCTGAAATTACAAAAACGTCACCCTCACCGTTTAAATAATTATTAAAAGTAAATAAATTAATTAATAAAAAAAATCAAAGACAACGAGAAAGCATAGTCCACGACAGCAGCCACAATTTATTTTTATTTTATTTATTTTATTTTTTTAATAATTATTTAAATTGGGAGTGGCTTATTTTGTTAAAATCTGAAAACTAACGGCAATGGCCACATTGAGACAAATTTTCAATTACAAGAGGGCAAATCGATGCAAACGAGAGTTTAAAGGTGTAAAGTGATATCGAGTCAAAGTACAAGAGGGGAAAATAGAGGTTACTCTTATATCTATATACAAGTATAATTGGAGCCTCCAGAAAAAAATCGATTTTTCGGAGGCCCAAAGTCACTTGCCTGCCTTAAGCTTGGGACGACCCTGAATACAAAGCTACGGGAAAATACTATCGAGCACTAAATAACTTGAAGATCAAACTACGCAAGGCATAAATCTCCAGACGTGATAATAGAAAAGATCTTGAGCGAGCATGAAAGGTACTCGAAGAAGGGGCTTCAATCACAAGGTTTATTTGATGCTACACTCAATGAGATACATCTGATGATTATTAATTGTTGATCTGCACGTGATCGGAGAACTTGTTTCGCCGCATTAACAGTTACAAATCTCCCGATGTAACATCTCAATGACCGACAACGCAACTCTACTAAAGACAAGTATATATAGATTACCCGCATGGGTGTAGCTCAGCTGGTTCCGGAGGTGGTAAGTTGGTGTAAGGTCCTAGGATCGAATCCTGGCAGCTGTAATGTGGGAATTTCAACTCCAATGAGGGTTGGTTCCTTGTGGGCACCAGGTCCGGGTCCGCTACCTTAACGGGCCGTTGAGTTACCATGATTTACATTCCTCCATCAAATATTTGTCGGACCAAGGGATGGGGGCCCTGGGGGCGAGAGATTTCGCCTCTTTGTGTAAGTATATATAGATTATCGTCAATGGATTATATTATAAATTTAGCTAATTATCAGTTTACCACATTGTCCAAGTGGAGAACACACCAAAATTATTATTTAAGCAAGATTTTTAATTAATCGAGTATTAAACTAACGATGTTTTATCGTATTTGTATAGTATATAACAAGAAATAAAAGTTCTATATCAAGTATTATTGATATTATTTTTTCCCAAATATTTTATATTTTGTAACATTATTTACTAAAAGAATTAAGGGTAAATTGTGGCCACCCTTAAGGTAATGTCAAATTACGAAACCCCCTCATATTTAAGTAATTACAACTACCACTCAACTATGAATCTTCTTACACGTCTGGTATTACGATGTCCAATTTAGTGGAATCTTTTAGATTATGGGCAATATTTTCCAATGTGTACCCGTTTTAGCCCATTCGAAATCCATATTTTGAAACTAGATGATCATAAGATGTGTTTTTTTGCTTATAAAATATCAGTTAGAAACTGCATTTTTACGCAAATTGAGTACAAACTACAGAACATTTCACAAAATCTTAAAAAATTATACTGAATTTGAAACTATAAATATGAACGTTTAAGAAAATTTATAATTGATGAATGCTTGTTATAGTCCAAAACATAAACAAATTTTTCAGAATTTGACCTTAACTCAGAGATCCGTGAAAGTAATTTACCCATGAATTAAAAATGAGAGCCACATCGTGTAAAACTAAAAAGAAAAAAAAAATGTAAAAAAGGGCAAAAAGTAGTCAAGTTTGAATTGTTTTTTGTTTTTTTTTTTCATCAAGAATGTCAAGTTTGAAATGTACACGTATTAAACTACACGAACAATAGGTGTTAAAAATGAATTGCCAGCAGTCGATAAAAAACTCACTCCAGGGTAAATTACTTTTACGGATATAAAGATATCCCAAAATCAAGGGTGTGCAGGCACACCCTTGCACACAAGTAGATCCGCCACTGAAAGTACTGAATGTATATAAATTTCAATGCAGTGCAAGTCAGAGTAATTTTTGCTAATTGAGGTCCATATGGTTATCCAAGAGTTATGCATTTACATCTATACACAAATATAATTGGAGCCTCCAGAAAAATTCAATTTTGCCTTAGGCTTGGGTTGACCCTGAATACAAAGCTACCGAAAATACTATCAGAGCATTGAACTACGGCAGGCAAATATTTCCATGAGGTGCGAAAGTAAAACAGCTCCAAACGTGATAATGGAAGAGATCATGAGAGATCATAAAAGGTCGAAGAAGGGGCTTCAACCACAAGGTTTATTTGATGGTGAAATACATCGGGTGAGTAATAACTGTTAGATCTGCACGTAATCACACATACACACCCACGTGTATGTGTGTTTAGTGAGAATTTATTTCATCACATCAACGATTTAAAATCACCCGATGTACCATCTCAATGACCCACAACGCAACTCTACTGAAGACACGTATATATAGATGCTCGTTAATGCATTATATTATAAATTTAGCTAATTATTAATTTACCACATTAATCCAAGTCAGGAACTCACCAAAATTATTATTTATGCAAGATTTTTTAATTAATCGAACTACCGGTGTTTTATCGTATTCGTATAGTATATAGCCAGAAATAAAAATTATATATCAAGTATTATTGATATTATTTTTTCCCAAATATTTTTATATTTTGTAACTTTATTTACTAAAAGAATTAAGCGCAAATTACGGGCACCCCCTGAGGTAAGGTCAAATTACGAAAAAAATCCCTCATATTTGGGTAATTACAAGTACCCCTCAACTGAGAACTTTCTTACTCGTCCATCCTTGCGGTGACAAATTTAGTGAAATTTTTTAGATTATGCGTAATATTTTCCAGTTTGTACCCGTTTTACCCCATTCGAGCTCCATATTTTGAAACAAGATGATCATAAGATGTATCTCTTGCTTGTAAATATCCGATTGTGGTGCATCAGAAACTGCATTTATTACACAAAACGAGTACAAACTAAAGAACATTTCACGAAATCTAGAAGATTATGTTGAATTTGAAACCATAAAAGAGTGGACTGTTTGTAACTGTCCAAACAAAAGGGATTTTTCGTAATTTGTCGATACATCAGGGATGGACTATGTAATTTACCCAAAGAATTAAAGATGCGAGCCACCTCGTGTAAAACTCTAAATAAAAAAAAAATGTGAAAAAAGGGGCAAAAAGCAGTCAAGTTTGAATTTATTTTTTGTTTTTCTTTTTTCATTATTTTTTTTCATTGAGAATGTAAGGTTTGAAATGTACACGTATTCAACTACACAAACAATAGGTGTTAAAAATGAATTGCCAGCCGTCGATAAAATACTCACTCCATCCCTTCTATAAAAAAGCGCACTTCTCAACTCAACAAACAAACCACTCTTCCTCCATTCATTTCCTCTCCACAAATCTGAATCTCTCTCTCTCCTCTTTCTCTCTCTCTCTATATATGTACGTCTCTCTCTAACTGAAAACATTTGTCGGTTGATCACACAAAAAATCGATGGCCGTGTTTTCAGGTCTACGCCACTTTTCAATCTCGAACAGTGAAGAAGCTGAGGCCAATGCCGACGGAGAGGGATTGAAAACCCTTCAAAAGGGGGCGGTTCGGCGGAGAACGGTGGAGATGAGGGTTTCGATCCGGCGGCGCCGCCTCCGTTCAGGATCTCCGACATACGGGCCGCCATTCCGGCGCATTGCTGGGTGAAGAATCCGTGGTGGTCCTGCTCGTACGTCGTTAAGGATGTGGTCATCGTCCTCGGGCTTCTCGCCGCCGCCGCGTACCTGGATAATTGGGCTTTTTGGCCCGTTTATTGGTTTGCTCAGGGGACCATGTTTTGGGCCTTGTTCGTTCTCGGCCATGACTGGTAATTTTTATTTTTTTATTTTTTTAATTGCATTTTCCTGATTTTTCGGGCCGTTGATTTATTCAATTTATTTTAATTAGCATTTATTGTGATAATGGTGTATTCCGGTGGTTAGAATATATTGCTTTAAATGTGATGGGTAATATTTGATTTATTCAATTACATTTAATTATTTTCTCTCTCTCCTTTAATTCATATTTACATGATTTATGTAAATTCAATTTTGTTAGTGTATAAAAGGGGCAAATTACGGTCGACAGCCTGAGTTAAGATCAAATTACGAAAATATACTTCATGTATAGGTAATTATAATCAGG